CTTAATAGTATTTGGTTAAAGAAGATGATGATGTAGGATCTGTAGGTTTGTGGAGAATTGCACATTTGTTCAGAACTGAAAAGGAAACTAATATTTTCATAAGGATTGGGTCGTAGAATTAATTTTGCGGACAGCTATTGCACGAGGCTTGGTTGATCTCAAATTATAATTTGTTGACCGCATCAGAACTGCGATAGTTCCATTCTGTTGAAACATTGCTGCTATTTTTTGGCTCATGGACCAGAGAATTTTCTGTTACCAGTCAGAAGACAAGAAGAGTGACCTTTTCTTCTCCAGGCAATAGAGAATAGGAGATAAGAATAGATCTTAACCGTCCATCTAGGTCACTGACTGATAATGGTTCTGCAGTGTTTCAAAGGTAGATCTTTTCATGCAGTGCTGGGACTTGAACCCAGGTTCAATCCTAAGCATTTTTGCATGCAAGCCATGTCCTCTTTCTAATACTTTAAGAAGCATCTATGATAGCTCTATCTTTGCCCTCAGACATATATCATACAAATGAACTTCACGCAGGAAGAAATTGTAAAGCTATTGCCCACTTCTATAGGACAAGAATACAGCCAAATCTTTTTGCAACATAATAGCAGCAAAATATATTAGAAAAGGTCAGAGCAAGATTTCACAAGAACATTTATTTAAAAACAACAATAGGGAAAAACTGAAGGAAGAAAATAATGTGTGCCTCAGTTCTGATAATATTGGGCTATTCTGATGGGAGGCAACTTTTTGGGAATGGTGGATGCACCTAGCTGTTGGAGAAAATGCTGTGGGAATAATCTCAGAAGATGTTTATTTACCTATTCACCTATTTTGGTTTTTATTTTTTTTGTGTGGTGGGCATGGCTGGGGACACATTTACTATCCTACCTTCCTTTTATACTCTCAAGATGCTCCTTAATCATCCCTAGCATAATATTGCATATTTTCTTGGCAAATGGGCACCCCTCCGCTAAATCCTAGGTGACGGCCATCCACCGCTTTTGATTTTTACTGAATGCCTGTGGGAAAATATATGGAAATACTAACACAACAATATTGGGGTTGGTGATAAAAGCAAACGTATTAAGCAGCTCCCAAACAGCCCTGTTTAGGATTTCGTGGTTCTGGGTTGTTGTATCCATCGGTGAAAGGAAAGCAGGACTGAAAAAGAAGTAAAAGGAATACCTTACAGATAGCCCTTGACTTATTAATCACAATTGGACCAGAATTTCTGTGGCTAAGCAAGGTTGTTGTTAAGGAAGTCATGCCCAATTTTATAACCTCTTTTTTTTTTTGGCCACAGTTGTTAAGTGAATCATGTGGTCACTGGACTAACCTATAAAATGTATCAAAAATCTGGGATCCATTACTCCTGTAGGGATGAAATTTGGCAAATTTATGGTTGATTCTGTGCTAATTGCCTCCATACCACTACTTGGAGATTTAGCAGACCAGTCCTAGCATAGCCCTCCAGAGGCGTGGTAGACCAGCCCTCCCTTTGGCCATTGGAGATACGGTAGACTGGTCCCATTCCAGTTTTTAGGAGTCTGGGTAGACTGGTCCCACCATCATCTGCTAAAGAGGGGGTCAGACATAGTCAAGCTGGTAGGAAATCAAAACTCACTCCCATTCCTTTTTTTTTTTTAATCCTTGGTCATTCTGTTTCTCTGTTTAGGTAAGAATTATCTAGGAAATGATGATCCAATGGGTCATGGTTTGTCTAATTGAAAATAAAATCAATCCATAGCTTTAGTAGCTGGTTGATCTTGGCTAACATTGGTCAGATTTGGATGCTAAGCAAGGTCAAGCATCATTCACTCTTGAATGGGAGACTACTGAGAATCCTAAGAACTTTAGACTAGATTCACGAGTCTAAAAGCATTTTGGAAGAAAACAGAAGTAAATCATCTCCATTGCAATTTCCAAGAAAACTGCATGGATGTGCTAATAAAGTTACCAAAAGTTGAGCTTACATCAGAGAGGACTTTACTTACAGCTGTATTTATTGAACAGTTAGTGCATCTAGGAAATGAGTTTGTAAATGTACAAGGAACAAGTAATGTAAATTTATATGTCTGCCTGCCAAAGTTTTAAATTTGTATTTAATTTGCCTTGTGGGTCGTTGAGGTTCTTCCTGCAAGCTCTAAATATGGCTGTCTTACATTTTACAATGCATTTTCAAAGCAAGTTAATATGATTTGTGCTTGAATTTATACTTCAGATGGGAATTCGAGTTATGGTTATTTCTTCCTCTTCGAATCAACAAGGCTTCCTGAATAGGTTCAACTGAAAAACAGAACTGTCTTAACAGTCTTTTATATCCAAAATTTGTAAAGGATCAATATAGATCCCATCAGGACAATAAATTATTTGCTGAAACACTTCCAGGAATTAAAATGTTCAGTTTTTATTAACTTTTTTGTTTTTGAACTAGAAGCTTCTTCATTGTGTTAGATAGCTGGTGTTCTCCCAGTGTCACTCAAAAGCATTGGATAATACATGAACAATTAGCTCAGGGATTGATTTTAGGATTGCTACTATCTAATAAAGAGGAGCCATGCCAAAATGAAATACTTCTCTTGATATGGCTATCTAAAGTCTAGTGGTTAAGGTACTGGCCTAGAAACCAGGAGACTGTGAGTTCTAGTCCCACCTTAGGCACAAAGCTCGCTGGATGACCTTGAACCAATCACACACTCTCAACTCGAATAACTTCATAGGATTCTTGTTATGGGGAAAATTGGAAGGAAGGAAGGAAGGAAGGAAGGAGTAACAGCAATTTGCACAGTGGATAGACAATGGCTAAAATGATGATGATGATGATGATGCACATACACACACACACACACACACACACACACACATACAATAAAGGCAGGATATATATAAATATATAAAGGGCCAAAGACAGGGGTGGGATTCAAATTTTTTAACAACCGGTTCTGTGGGCATGGCTTAGTTGGGCGTGGCTTGGTGATTATGTTATTGGCTGGGTGTGGCCAACTCAATCACTCGATCACTCACATCGAGGCATGCATCTCCTCACCTGGCCTTTCATGACTGTGGGGATGCTGCAACAGTCATAAGTGTGAAAAATGGTCATAAGTCACTTTTTTCAGTGCCATTGTAACTTTGACCATTCAAAGTTACAATGGCACAATGGTACAAAGTTAAAACTCCACACAAGCAAAGTACCAGCAAAGGAGGGGAAAAAAACTCCAGAGAAGCTCCTGAGACAGGAAGTCAAGTCCTGCCAAGAATGTGATAAGGGTTAACGGAGAGGCAGTTTCTGTAAGCAACACCAGAATGTTTCCTTCCTACCTTCCTTACAGGATTAGACCAGTAATTTCTTCTAACAACCGGTTCTCCAAACTGCTTAGAATGTTAACAACCAGTTCTAGCGAATAGGTGCGAACTGGTAGAATCCCATCCCTCGCCAAAGAGCATCACTATCCCAGAACCTGAGGACAATTAAAGACTGCATTCTAAGGCCACCATGTCACCACGGACATTGCCAATCTTTTGATGGTTGCAAGGGCAAGGAAGTGTTGGGGCTTATAGTTCTTCTTTTTTAATTTATTTTTTTATTTTTATATTTTAAAAAACATTTCTTTTGGTGAACAGTGTGGTTTCAGGTTTTTACATTTCAACACAAACATGACCACAGTTACATATTCATCTTTCTTATTCAATTTCATATCACATTATTACTTATTCTATTTTCCTTTGAATATTCTCAAATATTAAATTCATTACACTTAATTTATCCACTTCCAGTTCATATCTTAACTTATTTCATTTTTCTTACAATATTCTCATATCTTATTTTACAATATTATCTAAGATTCTTATTTCATTTTTATATTCATTACACATATTGCTTTTAACTGTCACATTTGCAATTTTATCTCATACTGTTATTCCATTCATTATTCAATAAATTTCATCCTTATTCTAATAATTCAAAAAGTTGTTCCCTTTAGTTGTCAATTCGAGCTTGCCACCTATTTACTTTATAAATATAAATGGGGATTATAGTTCTCTGTGAAGATTGTTCCAGATTAACTTGTTTCGGATTAAGTGATTAAGTGACCCAGGCACATTCCTGTTGTACATGCAATTTTTGTGTTAAAGATCCATTTCTTCTGTTGCACTTTATTTTAAAAAAATATTTTTAATTGATTGCAATACTCTGTCTTCTGTTGTCTACATTGTCTTCTGTTGTGAGGGATGCATCTGAATAAACTGGCAGAATAGATATTGTAGATAAGTACAACTACTTTACACTGATCCCATACAAATGACCCCTCAACCAGTGCTATTTATTTCCTACCTAGTCAACAAAAATATCTCCATTGCTTGCTAGGCATTCCTCCTAGGCACAGAGACCAGGGCTTCAATTGAAGACCTCAAGTATATAAAACTGAACTGTTTAGAATGCAGCATTGCAAACTAACTCCGCTAACTGGAGCAGTTTGATCCTGACCAGCCTTAAGGTTGATTCAGCCTTCCATCCTTCCGAGATCAGTAAAATTAGGGTCTAGCTTGTTGGGGGCAATATGCTGATTCTGTAAACCACTCAGGGAGGGCTGTAAAGCATTATGAAGTGGTATATAAATCTAAGTGTTGTTGCTATATGTTCTCCTCCTAAGCAATTGTGCAGTGCTCATAACTACTTTTTGACCATAGCATATTAAGCACAGCTCCTTTCCTGTAACAAGTACAGGGCGCTGGAATCTCAATGAGTTATTTCATCTTCTGAATTTGGATCTCCAGTGTGGAATGTAATTAAATCACTGAGCCAACAAATATTCCGGGGTCTCCTATTCCCTCAATCTATCCCATTGTGAATCAGATTGTTTCCAAGAGAATATTTGCACTGCAGGCGGGTTTTGTCTCCTAGATTGAGGGTATTGACAGCATGTAGAATTTTTTTTTTATTCATTAAACAGAAATCCTGGAGTAATCCCTCTTCCTCGTGTCTCTTCCTTTGGTTCCAGGCCGCGCACTGCTCAGGCTTACTGACAAAAAGCTTGAGCGAATGGGGATTGCTCAGGAGAGCTTACGTCAGCACATTCTGCAGCAAGTGCTCCAGCTGAAAGTGAGAGAGGAAGTTCGAAACCTACAGCTACTCACGCAAGGTAGGAAATGTTCAACTCAAGGAGAATGCAGAAGGTGAGACAGGACGTTCACCTTCAAGCAGGGAGAGATTAATTTGATGCTCTCCAGCGTGAACTTATGCATAAGGAGGTCTTGTGAAACCAGAGCACTCTCCCTCGCACCAAGCAAGAGAAAACTATAGAAAAACAGGTGATTTATGTATTATGGACTACCTGCCTGTTATGATAAGAGCCTTTTTTGTATTAGAAACAAGCCCTTCTATTGCTTCCTAACACATATTTGCATACACGAGTTGGTCCTTCTGGAGACAAGTATATTCTGTGTTAATTAATGGAAATGAAATAGGGATGATTTGCTTCTATATCACTCATGCTGCTGAGGAAAGAATCCATTGTTTGACTTCATATGGGCAGATTTTGAAAGCAGAAGCTTTGTGCTTAATTATTTGGATGAGTCACTATTACTCCCATGCTGATCTCTTCCATTGTCTGAAATCCAACTGGCCAATATGAGGAATATACTGTATGTTTTGTTATGCTGTGATATCAATACTGGCTGTTTTCTATCACCTTCTGTTATGAATTTATGCTTGCAGGATTGGCAGAGACTGGAACCAACACATCTAAAAGGTGCTAGGTTGGAAAAGCTTGCATAGATGGAAGGAAAGGTCCAGGCAAAGCTATTTTCAGCAACTGAGTTGTGTTAACTTTAATGCTGAGCTCTCGGGATCATAATAGGGCTAAATCCATGGCCCAAATGAAAGTTTTTTACTTTACTACTACCAGACACAACATTATTCTAACTTGTTAGTCTACTATCTAACAAGTTGTTCCAAGGTTAATACCAAAACAGATGAAACTTATCCTTGAAGAAACTGAGAAACAACACCGAACATAGAACAACAGGGTTGGAAAACACCTTGGAGGTCTTCTAGTCCAACCCCTTGCCCATAACAAGAGACCCTATACCATTCCAGATGTTCTTTGGGCTTGATCACATGGATACAGGTGATCCTAGAAAGTATAGCAGGAAAACAGAACAGAATAATAGAGTTAGAAGGGATGCTGGAGACCCTCCAATCCAACCCTCCATCCAAGCAGGAGACCCAATACCATTTTAGGCAAATAGTTGTCCAATCTCTTATTAAAAATATATCCTCATTTTTTCATACTCTCACTTTTCATATAAAAGAAAGTATATACTCATCCAGAACAATAGAATCTTCTCTCAACTTGCAGTCAGAATTGGAATAGATGTAAGACAGGGGTGTCAAACTCATGGCGTCATGGTGTCATCACGTGTTGTATTGTGACTTGCCTCCGCCTTTGCTAAACCGGGCATGGGTGTGGCCAGTGCATGACGCATCTGGCCTGCAGGCCTTGAGTTTGACAGCCCTGATATAAGAGATTTGATCAAAAGTGTTTTGCAATATCTGTTCACTGATGAATCTTATTATCTTGGACTCAGAATATATTAACATTTTAACTACTTGGATCAACTCAGCTTAATGGCAACCTTGTATGCTAAAGTCTAGATCTCAACAAACTTTAACTTGCTATTAAGCAAACATCTTCCCATTGTTCTAAATGAGTGTAGCTAAGAACATTGATTTGGAATATACATAATCCTCTGATTTTGCCTGCCAAGTCAGATTTCTTTCCCTTGATTGAGCTTGATCCAGTCTTGCCTGATTAATCTAAGAAGAAGTTGGTTTATTAAAGCTCACAATAGAAAGATCACAGAATAGATGTTTAAATGGACATTAAACGTTTTTACCTTCTCAAAACAAAACAAAAACAAGCCAAGCCAAAAGAGACCAACCAAAATAACCCCCAAAGAATGTAAGTTTTCAAGTTCATCAGGCAAGTTGTTACTCTTCTGAATGCAGGCCAGGAAAGAGAGAAAAGGTCCATAAATAGATGGGGTGTCTTGACTTAAAGATGAATTCCAAATCAGTTCAAGATGATGATTGTGGAGCAAATATAGTTGTGTAAGATGTAATAAAATAAACTGGCTGATCCTACACCTCTGAAAACACAACTGTTTATTCCCAGTCTTCTTTCACCAAGTATTATAAAGTAGCAGGCCATAATATGAACAAATGTAACTTTTTTGCACGCTTATTTCTACTAAGAAAACCAGAGTTTCATTTCGGATGGTTCCCCAGTTAAAAGCCAATTACTGCAGTAATAGTAGTAGCTGGAAGAAACCAGAATCATTAGCCCAAAGAGCTCAAGTTCTACATGCAGAATCCATTAGAGTTGGGTGATTGTAATAAATTAAATATAAAAACAAAAAAGCCTAGGTCCAATTATGTGAAGAATCATTCCCACTTTTGACTTACAGGTAGCCCTTGACTTACTGGAATTTTGGTTGTTAAGTGATGTGGCCATAAAACAAGATGGCAGATGGTTGCAGTTGCTAAGCAATCCCAGTTCCAATTGTTAAGCAAAATTTCAAAATTTACCAGTTGTTAGCTGAGTACCTATCCCAATGCAAGGTATTCCTCTCTCTTTATAGTTAATGCATTGATCTCTTGTTCATTTATTGCTCTTTAGGAATCTGAAAAATTAAATTAAAATAGTCTAGTCCAGGTGTCTCCAACCTTGGCAACTTTAAGACTTTAACTCCCAGCACTGCTGGCTGAAGAACTCTGGGACTTGAAGTCCACAAGTCTTAAAGTTGCAAGATTGGAGACACCTGGCCAGTCATTAAATGCAGATGAAGATGTGAAAGGGTAGAGGAATTTACAGAACTGGTTTGAGGAAGTCCTTCTCCAAATAGTCAGCTACAAAATTTGATGATTTAAATCCTGAGATAGCCTATATTTGTAGAATACATCTTGGAACTCCAGAGACTATTGTAGACTTTCTCAGTTGGTTCCAGTCTTTTCCCTTTCTGTTCAAGGCAAAGATTTGAAATGTATTTCTATTTCCCTTGTGAAATCAAGGCTGTGATTGATTTTTCTTCTTTAACTTTAATATAAGCCTAGGTTGGTTGGGCTGAGAGAGAATAAGTGGTGGTTGAGTAAGGACTTCAGCTTGTCTAACATCCTAACCATTACAAACAGTCTATTGGGCAGAAGGTTAGATTTGTCCATTCTTCTTTGTTTCCTCTTGTTGCTTAGCGCTTTCTTCGTTCAATATTGCTAGAATATAAAATATCCTTACTGTTATTCTTTTGTTCAGAACTCACAGGATGAAAAAACAAGATCTGATCACTATGAAAATTAGATCATATTTGCAGTTGTTTCCAAAGATAATATTGCAAATTTGAACCAGCTTCCTCTCTCTAATCGCATTTTTGAATCAGCTTTCTTAGTAAATATCCAATATTGGTGGCTTCAACAAGGAACTGACTGGGAGTCATAACAATTATTTTTTGATATCATTCATAGTTTCAAGATTCCAGCTGTCTGTGAACATACACCATGAATGGTAATACTGTTGCTAGATCTCCCTAATGCATGATTTGTTGAGTATGGTTTCATAACTAATATGGTCTTGTGGGTACTAGATGCTGCAGGTGTTTGTATCAAAGTGTAGAGACTTTGCTCTACAAAAGACTTGTGTCAGTCTCACCAAAGTGCCTTCTCCATTGCTGTGGTTTTAGCTTGATTCAAATTCATCTGCTGTCAGAGCTCTGGTAGTCACCCCCATTTAAATCAATCAGTCTCTAGCCAGATCTTTCAGAGCTTAAAGAAGATTTATTAGGAATGAATATGCTGGTGCTACCTGTATGTAGCTGACTCTGAGACACATCATTCATTTCACCCTTGAACCTGGTCTTCCCCCACCCCCTGAGTGTATCAAAATTCATATTCTCCAATGGGACACATCCATAGCCAAGAGTCATCGTGCTCTCCAGTTATAATCATGCTCTCCAGTTATAATTTTGTGCGCCAGAAAGTTCAGTTGCCTAAAAATTATCTATGAAAATATTTAAGGAACGAACTACTTTCCCCCCTCCCTTTCTTCTGACAACTCTAAAAGACCAGAAAAATGTTTTATGAGTTGACATCTTCCTTTGACTTTATTTGTCAAATAAATATTTATTTCCAAAGAGTCGGTCATCTTTTGGATAGTATTTACTGTTTGAGATTATGCCAAGCATAAGCCCACTTATACATCATGGTACACAGTGGTGTGATAGTTACAATTTTTCTCCCTAATTATTTGCAGGGTCAAAATTGATAATATTATTTTGCTAGGCGGTGCAATAATTTTCTTGTGTCTGAAAGGAAAAGTATGCACGTGGGTGGTATCCTCAACTGTGATGCAAGGAAAAGAAGAAGAAAATTAACTATAAATAGTTGTTTATTATTTTTTTGCATGAATGAAAAATAACTGGGACAAGTGATGACAATCCTTTTCAGATAGTTGACCTTGAGGGAAGCAATCCCTAAGATTCACAGTGAAGTTAATGCTATGCCAGTCTTATGAACCCCTCATAAGCCTTAGGTTGGGGTCAATAGTTCTCGGTAGTGTGTTTGATTGTTTAGATAGAGCCTTGAATGGGAGATAAGGGCTCACCTCAGTGGAATGATTTGACCTGGATATTTTGTAGGCCATCCCAATGAACTTATTTTGTTGAAAGCAAATTATGTTATGACCAATGGGATTCATTTTCTCACTTTCCAATACTCCAGTTATAGGCCACCCTCTTGATGTTATACAGGAAGCCTTGAGGCAAAATGTGCTTAAGTTCAAACTATTGTAATGCTGTTGGGATATTATCAAAGGATGTTGACTGTTGTGAATGTGGCAAATCTATGTGGGAGATTAGAAAATTTATTCATAGAAAAAGCATTGTTATAGAAAAGCAACATGCAGCTAAATCAATCACCTACTTGGAATATTGTGCCCAGTGTTAGTCTTCAAAGAGGACTTCAAAAAGGACATTATATTATAGATCTTCTATGACAACCTTTATAGAAGGCCTTGGAGATCTCGCTAAGGGAGAAATAGAATAGAATACTTCACTGGCCAAGTGTGATTGGACACACAAGGGATTTGTCTTA